CCTGGTTACATTCACAGTCATTGTACTCGTGTTTCCTTTGTATTTTAGACAAACAGGAAAATGATCCCTTCCATAGAGGTTATGAATTACAGCCCACTTAGTGGTTGCCAAGAGTGAAGGAGATCCGATAGCAAGATCTATTGCTGTGTATGAGTTGTGCGCTGCGTTAAAGTATGTTTGCTCTTTTTTATTAAATATACAGGAGCCGGAGGACAACAGAAAGTTTTCAATTAAGGAGCCTCGAGAATCCGTTCTTCTACATTCCCATAAAGGGTGGTGCGCGTTAAAATCTCCGACCAACAAAAATGGATGCGGAAGCTGGTCGATGAGTGTTTAAAATTCTTTAGTAGAGAGTTGGTAGTCTGGAGGGATGTATAGTGAACACACGGTTGTTACTCGTCCAAAAATTAGGGTTCGTATTGCCACTGCTTCTAAGTCAGTAACCAGAGTGAGGCTTTGAGACGGAACTGCTTTCTGCACCACGATAGCGACACCACCAGATGAATGGGCAGTGCCCTGTCTGTCCTTTCGGTATACCACATATATCTTCAAAAGGCTAGTGTGTGTAGGTTTTAGGTGTGTTTCCTGTAAGCAAAGTATGTTTGGTTGGTGTTGTGCAAATATTTCATAGATGTCGTCTAAGTTCTTAAGTAAGCCTCGGCAATTCCATTGGATGATATTTTCGGCAGCCATTTTTATGAATGAGGAAAAGAGCGTGACTTATTCACACTTTGCTGCCTTGATTAGGAGGCTTCACTGGCGGGTGTCTTTTCCCTCTGAGGCGATCTATGGAGCCCCGCCTCACTTGGGGGGATTCCGTCAGCATCTTAGACGCTGAGGATCCTGGTGTCACTTCCATTGCCTCCGGTGGACCCTCAGAAGCTAATGGAGGTTTGTCAGAAGAGACAGGTGTCTCAGTTGTCTGTGTGGCCCCTGGGGTCTGATGAAGTGCGACCTCCGGGACGTGAAAGGTTGGTGCAGCCTGTGGCTGCTTGTTGGGGGCAGAGATGTGCACGCATCAGCAAAGCTGTATTGCGTGCCCACCGTCACTAGACGCCGCCCGCCCCCCCGGCGCGCTGCGTCAGCGTACGTTCTTCCGGAGAAGAGCGACAGCTTCTTCCGGGCTTCAGAGAATGTGATGTTTTCCATTACTTTTATCTGGATGATTTCCTTTTCCTTTTTGAAAATTTCACATGTCCGCGAGTACGCTGCATGCGGCCCGTGATAGGTGGGGCACTCTGTTTGCGTGGAAGTACAGCTCTCGGTTGGGTGCTCATGATCACCACATTTTGCACATGTTTGTTTTCCGCGACAGGTGTTCGACCCATGTCCATATTTCTGGCATTTGTAGCACCTTCTAGGGATGGGTATGTAGGGGCGGACTTTGCAGTGAAGGAACGCAGCTTTCACAGATTCTGGAAGGATGGAGCGGTTAAATGTTAGTACTATATGAGCCGTCACCACTTCTTCATTGTTTCGCCTGATGGTTATCCGACGAATGGAGACTATGCCTTGCTCTCGAAAGCCTTCAAGGAGGTCAGCTTCAGTTTCTTGCATCAGATCACGTTGTGAAATGACGCCTTGAACAGTGTTAAGACTGCGATGGGGGGTGATAGACACGTCCAGATGGGCGAACTGCTTCTGCTTAAGGAGAGTGTTTGTATGCTGTTTCTGGCTTACTTCGACAAGAAGATCACTGGATGACAGTTTCTTTGCATCGTACTTTTTGCCTATTAGGTTAGCAAAGGTTTTAGCTATCAGGAAAACCGACAGTCCTGCAACAGAGACGTTATCTGCCAGAGAGTGTATGACTAGAAAGCGTGGGAAGTGGTCACAATCGCTTCCGGTTCATTTGGAGCTTTCATCGGTGCGGTTCCTTTTCAGGGACCGATCATTGAGAAGGGAGAAAGATTTTGCCATGTGGTGCATTTCATGTTCGGCGGCGATGGTGACCACCCACCATCGAGCCCAACAGGGGGACGCTACAAGGTAGAACACTTGAAGGCACCAGTCATACATCGCCGCTATAACCAGATATAACTACCCAAGGTTGGGTAACTAGACAAGGTTAACCCTAGCCGCCAGGAAGTTTGGAAGTAAACGGAAGAGACTAGAAGACAGGATAGATAAAAAGTGAGAGATAAAGACGAAGATGTAGGGAGAGAGAGATGGGAAAAGGCGACTACAGATTTCCCCTGGGTGGGTCAGCCCAGGGGTGCGGTCTACGTGAAGCCAGGGCCAAAGAGGTGTGTTGCCTTAAAGGTCCAATCACCCAGCGTCGGCTCAACCCCCAGGATTTCCTTTTTCCCGGACACGGCTCAGCCACGCACAGCTAGGCGTGGGAGGAAGCCAAAACTTCCCCAATAGCTCGGGTCCGTAGTGTCGCTACACATCAAACGCCTACTTGCGCAGGCGCCCCTGCAGGGGGCCTCTAAGAAAGTTCGCCAAACAATATATTGGCTGTTTGGGATGAAACAACAAAATTCTAATACATTTTTCATATGTTACACAGAGACAGGCCTCTGACAGCTTTTTTTTTTTTTTTTTCGTGGCGACAGAACCCACGAAATTAGCTCACTACAATTTTGTGCCCATGTTAATTTTTATCATGTCAAAGAATGCATATGAGGCGCAACTTTTTAGCCAAATCGTGTTTTTTATTTACTGAGCATGCGTGCTGCGTCACCGAAAGGCGCAGAACAAGATTGTCGTCTACTCGCGGTGTGCACCGGCGAGCCATTTGGGTCAGCATGAAAAAGTGTGCTACCCTAGCAGCGCCATGATGGCAGTTCGCACATAGTTAGCTACAGGCCGACTAATTGGCAACCGGAAGCAGCAATCCAGCTTCTCAGATGTTCTCCCCCTCGCCCTATACCACAATGCAACACCTTAGTTCTATGAGCTGCGCAATTAGTGCTGGTGGCCACGCATTCCAAGTGTTCTATATCGATTTGTGAGTACCATACATTGAATGCACATCTAATGTTGAATGCACATCTAATTAAGCATTTTTTTAGAAACATGAATGATAATTCTTAATATTTATCAGCTCTCACTCCACCATCTTGAATTTCAGTCTGGGACCGAGCAAACGCTCCACTTCCAAATATGGTTGTATTAACTTTAACCGTGGGGGGTGGGGGGTTCGATAATTAATTTGATTGATATGTGGGGTTTAACATCCCAAAACCACCATATGATTATGACAGACGCCGCAGTGGAGGGCTCCGGAAATTTCGACCCCCTGGGGTTCTTTAACGTACACCTAAATCTGAGCACACGGGCCTACAACATTTCCACCTTCATCGGAAATGCAGCCGCCGCAACTGGGATTTGATCCCGCGACCTGCAGGGGGGGGGGGGGGGGGTTGCTCTGTATTTTACGGTAGTAGGTACTACGTACAATAATGAAATTGCGCAGGCCTGGTTACAGTAACAGTAAACAGGATGCCAAGGTTAAGCTGTCACATGAAGATGGACAATGCGATACTTTTAAATGATAATAAATGCTCACAGTACGTTCAATCGGAGTACAAGCCACCAGTCATGAAAATTTGTAAAGAGAATTCCTAAATTCTATAAACTGCTCACCACAGCTTATAGACATTACCACATTCAATGCGGCACGGCTTCCTAACTCTAAATTAACTGTGTCCACAAAAGTTTGTCCACAAGCAACATGAGCACGGCAAAGCTGGCTGAAAAGGCGGTAGCTATGCTCTTTTTCACCACTTTGGTTCAGCACTACAAAAGCTAAGGGGTGTAAGAAAGCCCCACGCTTGCGCAGTGAAATGTAGTCCCACTTACAAGTGCTTTAAAATTTACAAGGGTGGCTAGAACTGTGGTTTCATTGGTGTTTTATGCCACGCCGATACATGATATGTTTATTCTTCTTCGCATTGATTTCTTACACATCTGATTATTTGTGTCGGTTACCGCCGATAACTGTGTTTACAAATCAACATGGCAGCACCCATGCAGAAGTGACTGCCCGCTTCGATCTGGACTTGCTCTTGCTACACAGCCGCAGCGCTGACAGCAGTAAACAAACGGTAAAATCAGCCATCAATTTGTTTCATGCCACTCTGCGACTAAAGCATCAAGTATGTCTGGTCGATATTAGTGAGATATGCTAGTTGCTTAGCCACATCTGCTAAGACTAATGCCCCGAGGCAGTGTCTGGACTGTGCCGTCAGACCAAGAACGTTGCATCTCCAAATATCGGACATGCAACGTCGCAAAGCATTCCGTGCCCGTCAAATCCTCTTTCGGTGGAAAGGAAAAAAAGAGAAAAGGAGCCTTGCAGTGGGAGATGCGAAGGAACCCATCGACGGACAATAAGACATACGAGAGCCCCAAACAGCGTCGAAGAGAAACAGCCACAAACTCAAGTTATCCGGTGGCATGCGATTCTACCGAACTTCAGCAGAGCAACAAATTCATGCTTTTTCAAGTTCCCAGTGTAGTAGCTTGTTTAATAGCTTTACTGTATTTTAAGTTAATAAACTAGCCATGATCACTACAATTCGTTGAGTGTATGCCATGAATACGGTGAGCAAATGAGACGGCGCGAACGAATACATGTGGACAGGCTAAGCGCCTTTCCTATAGAATGAGGGGCCTGTAGCCCCCACAGTGCTAAAGGGAACTTCTGAAACAGAGTATAGCTCAGCCTCCATTTGACAACACAAACTGTTTACAATATTTCTTGTGCTTTTTTTCAAGAATATTCAGGAATTCTTAGCATTCTTTTTACATTCATTGCAACTACATGGGATGGGTAAGCAAAAATTTGACTGCTTTGGTTACTCAGAGGAACACAGGTGCCAGCTTCTAGAAGACTTCCTTGTATCCACATGGCATACAACACACAGCAACACCCACAGAATTCCAGTAAGCCCACAGTATAAGCTATTACACAGCAGCAGTTTTAGGCAGCTGTTGATTAACTAAATACACCTTAATGGCTAACTTTGAATGCGGCAATAAAAGCGCCTTACCCAATTTCCAGCCACACATGACGGCACTCTTCATCGGGTTGCAAACCTGAGGAAGGGTCTCCGGCAAAGTAAGTCACATAAAGCCTTTCCTTCGGCAGCTGATAAACATTTGTAAGTAGTTCCCAGGCCATTGTGCATGCTTCCTTCTGTAAAGCAAGTAAGAAAAGTTAAAATTACGAAAATAAACTTTTTAAGCATGCACTCAGGCAAGATCTAAGGCAGTTAAAGGTATGAACTTAAGTCGCATGGCAAGTTCTCGCAGAAGCCGTTCTCAAGAGGAAAAAAACATAGCAGCTGAATTTCTAAAAACCTAAAGCGAGAGCATTTCTTGGCACTTGGCAATTCAGTATCCCTAATGTTTACTGCTTTGTGCTTACAGTGTTGCCCATATAAAATGCCAAAATTGTAGGGAAATGTAGCAGCCTACAAAAAAAAGAACACAGCAAACGCATTCATGCAAGCTGAAATGGTAAAAACACCTTTAATGCGTCATAAAAAAATTAAGATAGAACCACACAGGCGGAGTAAAAGACAGCTCAGCTAGCTGGTAAGTATTCCGTCTAAAAGTCAGGGCGTGAAAACACAGACACAAGAAAGAAGTCCAAACACCCTGAATGCCAACTTTCAGACATTAGCACATTCAACATTCTTTGCAGTTAGTCACCGTTTGTGGTGCCCTGACTTCAGTTTTGTTTCTGTGTTTGCACGACCTGTCTGTCAGAATGCACACAGCCAGGAACAAATTTCAAAAAAGTATTTTCTAATGCTGCCAACACTACAGCCATGTTCAGCATGAAGCGTAGTGCATGAGCTGCGACTTTCAGGGGAAAAAAAAAAAAAAAAAAAACTGGAGGACTCATCATTCCAGCAATAACGATACTCATACGCTTTCTTATTGGAGTGATAACACACTGGTCTGCCAAACAGCAAGAACGGTAATGTTTCATAGCACAATATTCTTTGTCCATCGCACCTTAATAAACTGTTCCTATTTTTTGTCCACATGATGGCTGCTCGACAGGCCAGTGTGGAGAACGTACAATGGAAAGCAGTGGCCATGCGCCTTTGCACAGTGGTGAATCATAATCATTTTTTTTTCTTCGCAACGTTAGTCTGGCCACTGATCTAGCATTACATCTTATATTGTTTTTGATAGTAGATGTTTCATTATGCAAGAATTTCAAATGTTTTCGCATTACACTGGTAGGGCAATCTAATTCTGAAACAAATATTTCGGAAGTAATTATGGAATAAATAAATATGAGTGACACACCTGATTGTTAGAGATTTAAATTTCCCACTGAGTAAGAACAATATCGTTTACAAGAACATAATGCAGGGATAAAATATTTTGTGCCAATCTGCTACAATGGGTGCAAACTTTGACCTGAAAACAATTGAGACTAATCAGTGACCAATAGCAGAGAATAAAAAAAAAATCATACATCTAATGCTGTTTGATTTTAGATAATATGTCAAGCATAAATGCCAAATACATAAAATAAACAACTCATACATGCTTGTTGTTTAGCTATACAAAACAAAATTTTGGAAAGCTGAAAAAAAAAGCCATTGTATGACTGAAGATGAGACACTGTTCTTAATTATCTGTGACCAAATTCATGCTTCAACTTGCTTACCAACATACATTTTCACATACCTTCAAGCTTTACATTTGAATTCACACAACTGAACACTTACATAATTTACAGTTGCCATCACTTTATAACCCAAACCCACAACCTGAGTGAGGGAGGGGGGGGGGCATGTAAAATTTACTAATGAATAGGTGCTTTCCTCAAATTGTGAAAGCTATCAGCGAATTCAAGCCTGCCCCCTACTCCTCCCCACCCCCCAAAAAAAAATTCTGGCTACAGGTTTGCTGTAACTATCAAGTGCATGTAAGAAACACTGGATGGTAACAGTCAAATGCAGTGGATGAAAGTTGCAGGGCACCAGCTCAAGAGCATGCAAGTTCATTTTTGATTGCATCAAAAGTATATAAACAGCATGGGCTATGCTGAGCTGAGTTGCATAGCCAAGAAGGTGATGCACAGGATCATGCTGTGTGCATGAGCATACCTTCTAAACTTTCCGAGCTGCACTTCATGACACTGAGCTCACTGCAGTGTAAATCTGCACTCCTTTAAGATTATTTATTATTGTAATATGTGGGGTTTAACATCCCAAAACTACCATATGATTATGAGAGACACCGTATTGAATGGCTCCGGAAATTTCGACTGCCTGTGGTTCTTTAACGTGCCCCCAAATCTGAGCACACAGGGACTACAGCATTTCCACCTCCACTGAAAAGGCAGCCGCCGCCGCCGGGATTCCCTCGAGATTCCTATCCCAACAGGTTAGGCAAGCTGATCTAGCACCATGTCGGCAAAACAAACGACTGCCCAAAATTTTCAGTACCTTGAAATAATCTCCAAATGACCAGTTTCCCAGCATTTCAAAAAATGTGTGGTGTGACAAGTCTTTCCCAACTTCGTCCAAGTCATTGTGTTTGCCACCAACTCTTATGCACTTTTGGTAGTTCGCAGCCCGTTGCAAGCCGTATAAGGGGCTGGATGGTTCTACAGTTCCAAGGAAGACCCCCTTAAACTGAAAAATGAAAATTATGCACATTCAATAAGTACTCAAATTGTCAAAATGTGAAGAAATTGGAGATGGACACTCAATCACACTTCTCATTTTGCCAATAAATGTTTCACTTTAGATTTGCCCCCACAGATCCTACGAAAGAAAAGCAATGAAAAATACGTTTAAACTAGCATAAAGCAGCACCATATTGAAAAATAGGGCACATCTAAGAATAAACAATAGCATCAAAACATACATTCAGCAGCTGGTACATTGTCCATCCCATATGCGAGAAAAATATGTGTACATTATGCAACTGTATGAAAATAGATTAGAGTGCTCATCAGAATACTCCGCGGTTATGTTTACTCTTTTCTTTATTTCACACAGTGCAAAAGTTCGCCTTAAGTGTTTCATTAGTCTAGATATCGTGAGAGACAATATCTTGCAAATGGGAAAGGGTACTCAGTTTGCTGGTCTATTTTGTTATAGCATACAACATTGAACAAGTTGGTAAATAGTTGAAGCAAATCAATGTGCAGACAAAGCACTGATGGAGCATAATAAGTGCTCATTTTATTTCTCTATGCATCATAAGCTGATTTTACCAGGCATCAGATTTTAAAAAATAAGAGGACTTCGCTGTTCTTCAAGAAACTGTGCATAAAACAGAGCCAAAGTGTGCTATTGCATGAAAAAGCCTGCTGCATAGCCTTGAAGTTTTTATGACTATATACAACTTTACTTCTGTCTATTTTTCGGTATATTTATGCTATAAGTGCAGGTGCAGACTATATTTGTAAAACAGGTGCCTGAGAGCAACAGCTAATTACCAATACTTTATAAACAATGACACCTTTCTTATTATTCTTTTTAATATATAGGAGCTGCATGTCTCAAATCAGTTATTTTACAAAAATTATGGTCTCCTATGACGGCCAGGCAGTTTCAGGACATCTGCTTTGGTAACACTGGAGTGCAATGATCAACGCACCACCTACGTTTTCCAACAGGTGCCCGTCGAATGCAAATATCTGTTAAGAGAACGCCGGCACATGCACTTTGCGTAAACACTGTGTAGACAAAGGAAGGAAAATAGGGGGGAAAGAACGGCAGAAAGGGGGGGTTAACGACACGGTAAACAAAAGAGCTGCTGTAGTTTTTTTACACAGATGCCCAATGAACTTCCATTTGGGAATAGAAAGCTTGCCTGGTTCATTCCGGAATTAGTAAAGAGGAGAGATTTGTCTGCGAATGGGGGCATCACAGAGCTGGATGGGATGAATTGGTGCCCATGACCGTCGACGAAGAAGTCAACGAAGACCTGGCGAGCTTCGCGAGCGCTGAATTTTTTTGTTGGACGGGTGCAGAGCCAGCGCATATTCTTCATTCTCAGCCATGTAAGGTGTGTTCCACACAATTTCAGTGTTTTTCCAGTCATTTCAGATATCAAGAAACACCTGAAAGTGGGAGCATGTCGCTTAGTAGGGTCATCGACGAACTTTGCAATGAGCGAGTTATCAGAATCATGTTGATTGATTGATTGATATGTGGGGTTTAACAGAATCATGTTACGCTTGTGTACATAAAGTAATGGCGAATTCATCATATTTAAGGCACAATCAAGACTGCAACATTAAAAAGCCAGTTTAGGAGTTAACGGCGACATAAGCACTCAACGTGACTACGAGCAGCTCTCATTACACAAGCATTACAACGTGAAGATAAATCCTAACATACAGCAACACTCCTGCATTTCATCATCTAACATTAAACTACACATAGCAATGCTTACCGCAAGAGCCACAAGTTTGGTATTTCGTATAAACTAAGCTACATCAGTTGAATCATACCAGTCCCTCAATCATGCGCGACCTACACACGCTGATTGTCGCCGCCATCTTTCCTAGCGTCGTCATAGAAACAAGACGTAGAGTGGTACAGTTCGACATTCACTGCCAAAACGCAAACTAATGCAATGTATGCACATATTAATATTCCATTGTTTATTATTAGGCTTACCAGAAAAAGTTATTTGCTTAAAAACAGAGGCAGTCATAATACATTATTACAAACCCGTCAAATAGCGCGCGGCATTCAAACCTTTCTTTAAAGGGACTGTCTACCGTCCTTCATTTCTCTCTTGTTTTTACCATGTGAAGTGTCAAATCTTGCAGCGGTTTCCCTGTAAAGTGCGTAAAAATTTTCAAAATAGAACTTTTCTGTCTCAGTTATGTCTCCTTCTATCTGAGGGATGAATGCACACAACACTGGTCGGTACCAGTCACGGAGGAAGGAAAAATACCTTTTTCCTTCCTCCGTGGTACCAGTGAAAGTCGAAAACTGAAACCGCGTGTAGAGGTACAGTGCGTGCGGTTTTTGCAGGCTTCAAGTTTGGTTATTATAACACAAATACCTTAGTGGTCTTTTTAGACACGCACACACTTTTTTGGGGTTCTCGTGAGCAGCGTTGGATGCTGTGGTCGCGTTAATTTGCCGTTTGGTGTTTGCAGGCAGGCATGCAGGAAAGCGAACACACCACCGGCAGCGTCACCACCAGGCGCCCATTTTAACGCGTGAAAAAAAAAAACAGCAAAAATTGGTTTCTGCCATAGTCTAAAGCTGCCTCAAGTGCATAAATTACAATTCTAAAGTAAACATGTTTGTTTTTAAGCAAAATCAACCTACCTGGGAAAATTTCTTGTCCTACCAATATTCTATAATGACCCACTACTCACCTTCCATGAAATTACCTCCCACTACCGACACAACAGAAGCCGATACCCTTTACCCCATTCAAAACTAGAACGCGCGCAAGAAGTAGCCTTTAGAATGTTACAAACGAGATCGTACCCATCACGGGGCCGACTCAGCCATTATAACTCAGACATAAATTCACAGTGCCCAGATTGCACAGAAGTGTACTGTTCACTCGCGCACATGCTCTGGCAATGTCCCGCGTTACCTCAGGGACCTCTCACCAGTGAGTCCGACTGGGAGGAGGCACTCAGGAGCCCCAATCTCCGAAACCAACTTAAGGCAGTCCAGAGGGCCCAAGAACTGGCGGAACGCCACCACGTTCCCGCCCCGACTCGGGCGTCGCCTACGGTAGCGGCTGCTAGGATGTCCCACGTGGGCACCCTGGTGGCTTAAACTCCTCAGGACCATATATTAAAGTTCTTGACTGACTGACTGACCAATATTCTATAGGTTGTCAAGATTGACCCCATTCATTGTTGGGTGACGCTAGTGGTCACTTTTTATCGAGTTTCAACGTCCAGTTAAAATTATATTTCCTTTCTTCTGGCATGGAAGCCTGCTCGTTGCTGCCGATGTGATGCACTATCTTTTAATTTGTGCCACAATCAGAATTTTTTTTCCGAGCAGTAAACAATTCCTTTAAACGTGTAAATAGATTTCGAGCCACACGGACGCTTAGTTCAGTTTTATCTCTAAACTAATTTTTAAGATTGGTTCTTGGCCCATCTTCCTTTGTGGCTGAGCGCCACTCATATGAAGTCATCATCATCATCATCATCAGTTCGCCGTGGTGGTTTCGACTATAGTTCCGACCCAGTGTACAGTATATTCTAGTACACTATAGTTTCGACCATGGTTAGAGCGACCTAGAATAGGGTGAGTGTCCAAAGCGCAGTGCCAATACATAAAAGTAGTGAGGGCCTTTTACGGTGAACTACCGCGCCCCGGCGCTGCCATGCCGGACCCGTGGTCTTTCTCCGCGCTGAAAGCAGCGCCGAAAGGGTGGCCGTCTGCTATGCGCCGGACATTTCGGACGCTATTAGCCAACGTTGCAGTAATATGGGCAATATTTATTATTGTGCCACCCCAACATTATGCTGTAGTGATTCACGACACTAATAACACGTTTGATAGCTCTGGAGCGTGGATATTTTCTTTCAGCTGTTTTGTCACGCCAACCATCCGCACTACACACACTTGTTTGATCAACGCATTCTGTCTGCTCCCGTCGTGAATAAAGGTACTTAATTTATTTTCACATGGAATGAGGATTGTAAACGTGCTGTAGAAGATAATAAGCTGAAGATAGCAAAGATAACAAGGAGAGCGTATGATGTGGTACGATGTGAGTTCAGTAGCCATCCGGCCTGTTCTGAGCACGTTCCAAACTGTCTCGCCCGCGCGAGCCCCCCTACCCACACCCCTTTTTTGTTTGTCTGAATAACGAGCTTCTTCTTCGTCCTCGTCTTCCAGCAATCTGGCTCGCCTTAACGCTCTTCGCACACATACGTTCATGTCAAAAAGTTATTTAGAGCGCGAACGCACCACACAATCACTCACACACGCACACACCCAGACATCAAACACACACAGCGCTCACTTCCAGCTGATTTATTCATAGCTCGAATGCTTGAATATATGCATGACACATGTGCGCACTAACACTATAAAAGGCCAACAGCATACATTATCAGTACATACAGTTAATCAATGTCGGACCATCAAAGCGATAAACTGGAATTCACTCGCTAACAATGACAGCGAAGGGGAGCTTACACAGCGATCTTTGTTTTGTTGTTGTTGTTTTTTTCAATGAAAAATGGCTCTAACACTTCACGTGCAGTTTTACTTGCGCTTCTGGCTAAAAAATCTTCGTCTCAGGGAATCGTGCGTCACAACAACACGAGATGACATGCGCGACCAGGTGCGCATACTTGTCATCTCGTTTTGTTAATTTTTGGGCGTGTTCCCTTAACCGATCATTAATACATCGTTCGGTTTGGCCAATGTTCACTTTCCGCAGGATAAGGGTATGAAATACACGACCCTTGTACATGCACGTATGTTAAATGGCTATCTCATGGTTGCGCGTTGCCACACTTATATCATTTCTTTCACTTCGCGCATTCTATTTGTTTTGCATGGCCGCATTCCGCATTCTGCCATTTCAAGCATTTTCGTGGGAAGCGGAATATGTCTCCGTCGGCGCGGTAGTGGTACCTGAAGGGAAAACTCACTCGCGCAGCTCTCGCGTCTTGTTCACTTAAAAAGGTCGATGGCATCACCAGCTTGGCATGTTGTGATTTTCGTAATGACTAATAAAGGTAATATCATGCGTGGCGCGCAAATACACTTTCTTCGGGAAGAAATCATTCTGACGATGCATAGGGTCTGATGATTTCTGCCAGCAAGGGACTCGAGATTTAGGACTTACCTATACAATTTGGAGAAACGACTTCACTGCCGCCGAAATCATGCTGGCCTCCTATTTTGTTACAAACTAGTTCACGGCATGATATCTTACCCTTTGCTTCTTAGTTGTGTAAGTTTTCGGATTCCACGTAAATTAGCCATAGAAAATTGACCATTTAATGTACCTGCCTATTCTTTACCGCTGACGCACTCTACCGCTGACAGACTACAAAGCCTATGCAATGTTAACTTTCATGATGTGGATGTTTTTCACAGTCCACCTTCGTTGTTTTATCTCAGCTTTGCATTGTTTTAGAACAGTCTTTCATTATGTACGGATTCTTTATTTTCCGTTTTCACGAAGCCCTTTACATAGTTGCATATATATCCCTTCATTTTCCCTGCCATTCCATAATTGTCATCTTGTATTTTATCGTCTCTAATTTTGCACTGGTTAATTTTTAATTTTTTCGGTGTTTTCACTCTTCTTATTTGATTTTTTTGAAGACTGTATAAGATTGTTCAGTTTTACTGTTTTATTTTTACTTGCGCCTGCACAAATACTTTATTGATGTTCCTGAGCACGTTAAATAAATTATTATTGTTTGATTATTGATAATGACAAACACCGATACTTTGCGCCGGCACGAGTGGAGTGTAGCTGATATAAAAGGCGAAGAAGAAGAAAAGGCGTCGCTTCACGTTGCATCGCGCACAAGGTGCTGCCGCCGATCGGCCGTCATGCCTCTCGTGTCCACGGTTAACCTTTTCGCCCCTGGAAGAGCAAGTGGGCAGCGTTACCGAATGATTGACCGGCGACTGTTCTCCTGCCATCGTCGAGACCACTTGACCATCCACCTGGAAGACGACTGCTTCCGCTATCCGCTACCTACCAGCCGGTTCTTTCACCCGCCTCGACATTGCAAGGGTATGGTGGCTTCTAGCCACCATAGCAAGGGCTGCTGCTGGCATCGCCATGTTTTCCGACGCAAGTGTCGGCTCGGCGGCGTCTCCCACCCCTCTCTTCGATCGGCAACAGAGGAAGCGTGTGGCATTCGTCGGCACTGTACTGGAGGCAGGGAGAATACCGGTCTTGGACGTGGGTCACAGCTACGTCCTGCCTTCCCCCGCTCTTCGGGACCTGCGTGGCATCTATCGGCACTTTACTGGAGGCAGGGAGAATGCTGGTCTTGGACGTGGGTCACGGCTCCGTCCTGCCTTCCACCGCTCTTCGGGACCTGCCACGGCAAAGGCTTGGGAGGTTGACAGGTAGGTTGGCTGTTTCCTTACAAGTGACGCCGTGGTGACAGCAGTGGTGTAAGAATGATTCAATAGACACAAATCTGTAAACGATGCGTCACGTGGACCACGCTGTTACAGCGGCTGCTTTTTCCGTCTGCTGACCCGAAGGTCACAGTTCAGATTGCGGTCGAGTATCGGTGGAGGCGACAAGATTAAGGTTTGTGTACTTAGCGACGTCCCTGCTACTAAAGAACACCGGTAGAAATTTCTGAAGCTCCCATCTACGGCCTGCCTCCAGCGTATTCATATCGTGGCTCCTACACGTAAAACCCGGGATACTTATTAGGCCGAAATCTTTGGTGCTGCATCAAATGCAAAGGTTAACAGTCGCTGTCAGCGACCCGTTGCAGCATTAGTGTCAGCAAGACTTATGCAAAAACGATCTCATGATTTCAACACTATGACGTTGCTGATCAGA